TTTTTATGGAAACATTTATTCGCATTTATATAAACATGTTAGACCTCGTACATACTCTTGGACCAGTTCCACCTTTCTCATGGTTGCAAAGTCTGACGTCACTTAGCGGCAAATTTCTCATGGTTGCAAAGTCTGACGTCACTTAGCGGCAAATTTCTCATGGTTGCAAAGTCTGACGTCACTTAGCGGCAAAGAGAGAGGAGCGTGCAAAAACTGCCCCATTTGCCTGCTTGTAGCTGTGCAACATATTGTGTGCTTGAGGCCTGAATGTGACATAGTGGGTGAGTGAGAGCTTGTGAGTAAGTGAGTGAGTGAGTGAGTTTGGGAGCAAGGGAGTGAGTTTATGAATGAAGTGAGTGATGAACTGAATTAGTGAGTTTGTTGGTATGTGAGTCATTTTGTGAGTCAGTGAGTGAGGAAGTGAATTGGTGAGTTTGTGGGTATGTAGGTGAGATTGTGGGTGTGTGAGTGATGGAATGGATGCATGAAAGAGTTTGTGAGTGAATGAAAAAGTTAAGCAAATGAAGAAAGATTTTGGAGTTAAAATTGAGGCTGGCCAACGCAGCTATGAATTTCAGTCTCTTTCAAAACAAGAGACCATTGCTGTGGTGTAGTGGTTAATCGATTTGCCGTTACACGCTGGAGACTCAAGTTCGATTCTCATGTAGAGGGGAATTTTTAATGAGTCTCTGTTGGGAAGTTGTTCCCCTCTGGGCTCGGGTTGGCCTTGACAGAAAGTGTTGAAGGGTGGAGGCACCCTTCAACACTTTCTGTCAGGGCCAACGTTTTACGGACAGCCCGAGTGTACAAATACAAATACATGTACTTCTTTTTTTACGGACTTGAACTAGGACTAATCACATAATACTCTGGTTCTGTATACTTACCTTGTCGTCAATTTGTTCCTTATTTGCTCCCATTATGAAAATGTTATTAATTTTAGGCTTTGGTCAATATTTAGATAGGAATTGAAATGACATTTTCAAGTTGCCTGGAGAAACTTCAAAACAACTGCGCCACCTTGGCCTGGGAGTACGTACAATATCTGGCGTCGCCAAATATCAGCACGTGAGGGTTTTTTTTATTGTAAGAGCTCACGCTCAAGTCTACAACACAGGTCTAAGTCGACCCCGAGGACAGACGAGTAACAGCTTAAAAAACAGTACGTCTACGGTGTCCTTGACACATACTATTATACAGCCCTGCTTCTAATCCTTGTTTCTAGTAATTTGAATTTACGCTGGAGCTTTACGTGTAATTGGTTGCCTTTTCTTTATTTTTTCATGGGCAGGGCATAATCGCGCAAGGCAGATATATATATAGATGAGGCAAGACTGGCCACGGTTTGTCTTTAGTCTCTTTCTACCAGTAGTCGAGTTGTACCGCCAACGTTGTGCTCATCCCAAGGTAGTAGGTAGGCGGTATGACGAGGTTTGACTGTATATTGTTCCTGAAGCGAGCAGTGAATATATACATTAATTGTTTTTTAAAATTATTATTATTTTTTTAAATATATAGGGGAGAGCGGGGAGGCTTCGGACACTTTTTGCGTTTGGCTCCACTGCTCGTTTCAGGAACAATTTAAGCCTAAGAAAAAAGTTTCACCATTATTGTAAGTCATTTGGGCATCACCACTTGCAATGTCATCACATTGTACCGCCAGAGTATCATATCTGAGGCAGCCTGTGATTTCCGAAACCACCCCTCTCTGCGGGAGACGTGAAGGAAATTTCGGACGTAGAGGGGTGACGTCTTATACGGGGTGCCTCAAAAACAACACCCGACTCAATCGCCTCAAAAACAAAGTTTGTTTTTGAGGCGATCGAGTCGGGCAATCGGCCCGATCCAGCCGTAGTGGGCACCTCGTATTACAGTGTGTTTTATGTATCAAATATTATTTTTGAGAAGCAAAACTTCGACACAGCATACATCTATACTTTTACCTTTTGTTTGAGGTGTGAAAGTATATTTCACACTCACTGGAAATCTTAGAAAACAGTGATCCATGTAGCGGCAGCAAGCATACAGGATTACACACACACACATACGCACACGCGCGCGCACGCACACACACACACACACACACACACACACACACACACACACACGCACACACGCACACACACACACACACACACACACGCACACACGCACACGCGCACACACACACACGCACACACACATACGTGCGCGTATATCTATACACACATAATGACATCGTGCCAACCGCAAAATTGGTATCACCGGGGAGTGAGTCATCATCGCTCACTGTTGTGTGTTGTCTTTTCATTTTATTCATTACAATTTTGTCTGACGATGTAGAACGTTGTGTTGGTGTTATTTCCTTCGCTCTACATTGTTGACCCCGACGCTTCTTGCGGAATAGGACGTTTTATTTCATAGTGGACGTAGGCCAAGTATAGCTTGTTCACTTTTGTCCTGCATTATTAAATTTTTTTAGCTCGTTCAGGAATTTACCTATGCTTACGAAACTTTGAATGGAACTTCTGCAGGTCGGACAAAACAAACATAAAAAAAAAAACTTGACCCAGCAATAAAACGTTTGTCTCTTTGGGCCCTATATTAAAAATCGCCCTTTTTGTGCATGCACAGGATCACAACAATAACTGATTTACAGTAATTTAGCCCACAAATTTCCCATTTTGGGACACTGCCACCACCGTACCCCCACATTTTAATGTATTCTCGTAGTTTTTCCTCCTAAGGCCGTCTAGATGTCATCATGTGCGTCTCGAAAACCACTCACCCGTCTGTTGGAACTTGTCCTTCATAGGCGTGAACTCACTATTTTTACAAGCGGGTCGAAGGGAACAGAAGAGTGGACGATTGAATGAGTTCCAAGTCTTGCTGAATGCAAACTTCATTTTGTTTTTAGGATCATAACAAGCTGTTATTGTTATTTTTTACTTGTCCACCCTTAGCTGAAGAAGATAAAGCTCCATCTTTGAGCTGGAGGAAGACAGATATTGAAGCCTGGTTGCAAACAGTTTTCCATTCCTTTTTGGCACCCTCAAACCGGAGCTGCTACATATAGTTAAACGTTATCATTTTAGATAGACAAAATAATTGCTGAACATGGTCACACAAGTCTCAGACTGCCGGCTTACCACGCACACCTCAATCCCATTGAACAAGTTTGGGCAAAGATTAAAAAAATAACGGCGCTACCAGAAACATAACCTTCAAACTGCGTGATATGAAAGTTTTGACAGCCCAAGTCATTGACAAAGTGGACAGCGAATATTGGAAAAATGCGTCGATCATGTGGTCAAAGAAGAAGACACTAGCTGGAAGAGAGACGGGTGTGGGGTTATCCAGCAATCACTAATTGTTAACCCTTCTGAGACATCAGATTCGGAATATGAAGCATAGAGCATGGATCAATTTTTGATCGTGGGTGAGTCATCTTATTTTTTCAGTATTCATTATTAGTATTTTACATCCCAAATTGGGGGAACAGGAAAACCCTGGTTTAGCAGTATTATCGCGAACTGTGTTTCCACTCTCGAGTAAGCATCCAGTTAGATATTCATTAATATCTTATCGTCAGAGTGAGGCAAAGTGGCTGTACAGCTTGTGTCTGGACCTAAAAGTCAATCATACTACAGCAGCACTCATTTTGTTTGCAAAACACTGGGTATCTGCACTTTTTGACGAAGTGTACAAGTCTTGTCTTGTAGAATCGGAAGCATTCAAAACCAGATTATCCTGTCACAAGTATATAGCGTGTTACGCCTCTGAATTATTTGGAGAGTGAGTGGTCTTTCAATATAAAAGTGTGGTTTTGATGAAAATTAGTCATCCTTTTAATCGTTTATGTGTGTACTGTAAATCTCCTATTATTTTTTTTACCCGTATTTGAGTAACATCAAAGAATTTTGTCGGAACCTTAGTTTGCAGTGACCTTCATTAATGTACTTTTAGATTCTGTTGGTCGTTTAACTTTTAGACCGGCATGAAAAGACCCAGAGAGATTAAACAGAGCGTTTGTTTTAATCCCGTTCCGCAGTCAGACGACAGTGAACGAGCTATAACTTGCGTGGTGGGTAATTATACTTTCCACATCAGTTATAATCTATAAGTTTTGTGCATGCTTACTTGTAACAGTCAACATATTATTTGTTGTACCCCAGTTCCTAGCATTTTAAAGACCCTTTAACACTGTCAACCTCTATCCAAACTTAGATATATTCTTGAAAAGCTGGAAGCATTTTTATTTCTTTATCTCTTACTGTTTTGCCCAACTTGTGTAGTCGGTCGTTACATTTTCCCTATAGGTTATAATCAATTAGATTTTGTGCATGCCTACTTGTATCAGCAAACACATTATGTTTTACAAGAGATGATCGCAATTTCTAAGTTTCTTCATCCGGCTACACTCTATATTAAACAAAATGTGTTATAAAAAGCTGATAGCAATTTTTATTATCCTCCTATTGTTTTGACTAAGTTGCGTGATCAGTTGTTACACTTTCTGAATCAGATATAATCTATTAGTTTTTGTGCATGTTTAGTTGTACGTATTATTGTGTTGTACCCCAGTTCCTAGCATTTTAAAGACCTTTTAACACTGCTAAACGCTATCCAACATAGATTTGTTCTCAAAAAGCTGGAAGCATTTCTATTTCTTCGTCTTCCTATTATCTTCACTAACTTGCATGGTTGGTCGTTACACTTTCCGTATAGGTTATAATGTCTTCGTTTTCGTACATGTCTAGTTTTTACGACCAACGTATTGTTGTCCTGTACCACAGTTCCTAGCATCTAAATGACTTCTTAACACTGCTAAACTCTATCCAACATAGATTTGTTCTACAAAAAGCTGAACACATTTTTGTTTCTTTATCTCTTACTGTTTTGACTAACTTGAGTGGTCGGCTTTTACACTTTCCGTATCAATTATAATCTAATACCTGTAGTATTTTTTGCACGTCAAGTACATACAGCCATTATTATTTTGCACCACAGTTCCTAGCATT